TCCTAGAACCTCACCATGTGACCCTTATTTAGAAATGGTCTTTGCAGATGTAATTAGCTAAGTTAATATGAGGACATACTGGGGTAGGGTGAGCTCCTGATCTAATATGGCTGGTGTCATTATAGGAAGAGGAGAACCACCAGGAGACAGGTGTATGAAGACACGGGCAAGGAAGAGCGCCGCGTCACTGAAGATGAAGGCAGAGGCTGGAGTGAGGATCTCAAGGCAAGGCTAGCAACCGGCAGGAGCTGGGAGGGGTGAGGAAGCGCTCTCCTCCAGAGCTTTCAGAGGCAGCATGGCCCTGTCGACACCTTGATTTCAGAGTTCCAGCCTCCAGAGCTGTGAGACAATAAATTCCTGTTGTTTTAAGCCACCCACTTTGTGGCACTTTGTTACCGTAGCCTTAGCAAATGAATACTTCTCCTTTCCTAGGTATAGGAGGAGGAAGGATTTATGGGCATCATGGATCCCAGGTGAGGTCCTGCCAAAATCTAGACTTTGAGGGCAAACTGAAGGCAGAGGTGAAGGCTGAAGGGAACACCCACTTCCTTTTCGTGGGCTCTGCGGGACACCTTACCTGCGGGATCTTGATTACCTGCTGGTTAAGTGTAGCTACTCCCATTTCAGATATGAGGGCATTGAGGTTCAGAGAATGGAAGTCATTTCCCCCAAGTTTGTTTTCCCCTGCCCCTGGGTACTGTACAAGGAGCAAATCCACACCCCAGCTGTAGTCTCAGGGACATAGTTTACTCACTTCCCTTCTCCGAGCCTCACTCCCTTCATCCAGAAAATGGGAATAACAGTATCTGCTTTGCGGTGGTTGTGAGGATGAAATGAGTTCATTCCTTCATTCAACGCCTATTCACGGAAGGCCTCCTCTGTGCCAGACCCTCCTAAACACACAGCAGCAAACAGCATGGACCAAGGTCTTGCTTCCAAGGAGTCAGAGTCTCCATCAGGTGCTCGGCAGTGCCAATATTTGGTAAGTGCTCAGTGGAGCCAAGTAGGATAAGAACCTAGGAATGAGCAGGATGATGCATGGAACAGGTTTGTCCTTTAAGAAGGACACAACATCTCTATCCCTGTCAGTGGTGGGGCAGCCCCTGGCCAAGGAAGGCAAAAAGTCCTTTGGGCCTGGGCCCTATGGTCTTGGGCACCCAGCAGTAGCTGCTCCCAGCTGTCTCCACAAAGCCAGCCAAACTCTATTCCCTAGGCACATCTGTGGAAGCAGCTGGAGGGGCCTTGGATCTTCTCCTGGGGCCCTCCTTGCTACACTGTCCCTTCAGCTCTGCCTCCCCAGCTCAGCCCCACCCGCTTCCTGACACTGTCCCTGCCTGGGCCAGGCCTGGGCCAGGCCTGAGCCACCCTGGAGACACTCCCAGCTGTCCTGATATCCCCTCTGGCTTCTGCAGACACTTTGGGTCCCAGAGGCTTCCTCTGGGGCACTAGCCCCTCCCTGCCTTCCAGAGGTGTCCCCAGACATCACCCCTGTGCTATTCTTTTTTACCCTGACAACTGTGGCATCAAATGTCAACCAAAGTCTGCTCAGCACAGGCAGGACGGGGTCCTTGATAACTGTGTGGTTTGGGGGTGTCTTCCGGAGCCCCCCAAGAGGGCCCGGGAGTGACTGGGTTGGAAAGGTCTGGCTCTGCCCCAGCAAAGCTCTTCTTCCCGAACCTTGGCTTCTCTGAGCCGATGGAAGGGAGGCAACTCTCTGCTTTCACTGGGTGGGGGGTGAGGATCAGGAACACCTCCAAATCTTTTGCAAGTGGTAGCAGCCAACCCTGAGCGTTAACTGTCTTCCAGGTGGGTTACGGAAGTGGGTGGTAGGGTCCACAGCAGCTCCACCCTCAGGCCTCAGAGAAACCTGTCTTCCTGTCCTCACTTGCCCTGGATGAGCTGGGAGAGCTGGCACTGAGCACTGGGGACACGGGCTCTGGCGGGCCCTGACAGCTCAGCAGTGGCAACAACAGTGGTGGCAGGGTCTATTCTGGGAGATGGGAGGGGCCAGGAGCTGAAATGGGAGGAGGAAAAAGAGCTTGGAGGAAACAGTCCTTGAGGGCAAGGGGAGAGGCCCTGTGGCCAGGGTGGGGGTGTCTGCCAAGGCCTGCTTTAGGAGGAGTCCGTAGTCTGGGCTTCTCATGGGTGGGGGTGGACCTGAGGCTAGGATTGCGCTAGGCTAGTTTGGGGGGAGGTGTAAAGCTTTGCAATGTGAGTGAGTCAAGTGGGTCAGGCACACAAAACAAGTGTGCTGAGCGAGTGTGCTGGCACTGGAATGCATGTTTAAGTACTCCAGAAGGTGTGGAAGCAAGCGTGCCTGCGTGTGGAAGGAGGAGGGATGAAAGGGTAAGCAAGTGGGGACTTGTTGGTGACCAGGAATGAATGTGGTAGTGAGTGACAGGGAGGCTACACGGGAGCTGGAGAGCACCCGTGGGGGAAGGGAGTGGGGGCAGGGGGTCCAGAAAAACTTGGGAAGGTGTGGGGTGAGGCTATGGAACTGCACCTGAGTGCAGGACGCGTGATAAGTGTGGAAGTGAGTGTGAGTGGATAAGAGTGTGCATGGTAAGAGCAGGTGGGCATGTGAGTTGAGAAGCAGGAGGGGAGATACAAACAAGGACAGTAAGAAAAACAACTAGCACTTATTGAGAGTTTGGGACTGATAATAGACATCTTATTTCATTTTTCAAATACCCTGGAAGGTAGCTCTATTGTGACACCCACCGATAGAGTAGAAAACGGTGGCTTGGAGCAGTTAGGCAACTTGCCCATACTTCTAATCACTATTAGACTCGTTCAAGATGATTTGTGAGCAGGGGCCAAATTGTGATTGCACACCAGTGGGTGTATTGAGTGTGTGTGTGAGAGAGAGAGGGACAGAGAGAGATGAGTGTGTCAGACATGGCCCCAGAGGAGAGGCCAGGCAACAGCTGTGGACACTGGGCAAGGCAGGGCCCAACAAAGCCTGAGTCAGCCACCAGGACATCTCTGCCAACCTGGCTTCCTAGCACCGCAGTGGCAGCCTATGCCAGGGCCCCCAGCTAAGATTCCTCTCAACCCTGGTATGGCCCCAAGCAAGCTCCCATCTCATGCTTAAAGCTGGGCCAGGGCTGAAGGCTGGCAGGAGGCTTGCCTGGCCTCCAGGTTACCGAAGGGAAAGCCCCTATTGTGGCCCCCCCTAGGCAGGGAGGGTACATAAGAGCTGTGGAAGGGGGTCCAGCAGTGATTTCAGTCCCTTGTGGCCTTAAACAGAACCACCTGGAGGGTGTGTGTGTATATAGGGGGGCAGCCAACAGTTCCCATGCCCACCCTTGCCTTTGGGATGTGACTCAGGCAGATGCCATGCCAGGCATCTGCAAGCTGGGCCTGCTCCCACCCTGGGAGGTGAGGAGGAGCCCCTTCAGCCCCACCCACATCCTCATCCTTAGCCCTACTCTCTGGGCCCTAAACTGCAAGAAAGGAATTCTCCAGAGGACTGTCTGCTATGTTTGAGGCACAGCCCTTCTACCACCCAGAGAACTCTGCACATTCTGCCCCTTCAGGAATCAGGTATTGGCTAGAGAGATTAAGAGCTTGGGATTCTAGACCTGGTCATTCTCTCTGGGAAAGTCATCTTCCCGTTTGGCCTTAGTTTCCTGATTGGCAAAACAGGAATATTGTGCTGAAGGGATCCAGGCATTGCTAACAGAGCAGCAAGCCATCTGGGCAAGCAGGCAACAGAGACATATGAGAGCTGGGGTTAGAGAAGTGTCAGGGTTAAGTTGATGTTTGAACTGAGTTTCGAAGAATGGGAGGGAGGCTTTCTGATGAGGGTCTTGAGAAGGGGAAAGCATTTTCTAAGCAGAGGGCATACCCCAAGAGAAGGATGGTAGGTGGAGTGGTGGCTAGAAACCTAGCCTATCACCCTATGGGATGAGGTCATGGACTGCCCAGCCTCTCAGCTAGCCTCTCCCTTCTGAGGTCATAGTGATGATCTGATTAACATCTGATTCCTCCACTCGTCTGTGTAGTATGGACCTCATTTGTGTCAGTGATTTCTTTTGCTATAGTGCCCTGAACATAACCAGGGGCATCAAAAGTGTTCAATAAGTATAGGTTAAACAAATGAGAAGCTTTTCCCCAAATACTCTGAACTTTGGGGTTAGCTTGTTTCAACAGGCCTTGTGAGAACTTCCCACAGATTCTAAGACAATGGTTTCCAAAGTGTGATCCCTGGTGCATCATCTGAAAGCTTATTAGAAATGCAGTCTCTGCTCAACCCAGATCTGCAGAAACAGAAACTCAGGGGCTGGGGTCTAGCCATCTGTTTTAACAAGCTTTCCAGGATGATTCTGCTTCACGTTGAACTTTGAGAACCAGAGTTCTAAAGCTACCCACAGGCACCATAAGCATCCATGAGAACCCATTTGCAGATGGAGAAGCTAGCATGTGGCAAAAGCTGGCCTAGAACCCAGGTATTCTTGAACGATTCCTTTTCCCCAGTCCAGTTCAAGGCACAAAGAAAAGGACAGGGGCCAAGGTTCTTGGAACCAAGACTTGGAAACATCAAGGGTCTAGATACAGAGGGCGGGGCATTCCTTGTGGGGGGGGGGGAGAAGGCGGGGCCAGGGCTCTGAGTCCCGCCCCATCCCGTTGCCCTGGGAAACCCCGGGTTGTAACAATAACCCGCTGACGCGCTTCTGGGAGGGATCCTGTCGAGTCAGTGGGCGGGGCAGTCCTTCCGCGGACCAATGGGCTCAGTCAGGTCCCGCCCCCGCACCACCTCCCGGAGCTCCGAGCAGGGGGCGGGGTCGGACTTGCCTCTTCTCCCCTGCTCCGTAGGCGGCGCTGTGGCGTGCAGGGGCTACGACGGGGTCGCCCTGAGCGGGGAGCTCCGCGCGCCAGCCCCAGCCCGCAGGCGGGGCACACGGGCAGGCCGAGGATTCCGCGGCCGCGGGTGAATACGCCCCGCCCCCTCCCTCGCCGGGCCCGCCCCAACCCCGTCCCCCGCCCGTCCCGAGGTGCAGCCGGCGCTGAGCGCGGCAGGCGCGGGAGCTGGCGCTGGAGCCGGAGCGGCGGCGGCGGCATTCACGGGGCGGCGGCGGCGCGGGCTCCGGCACGGGCTCGGGCTCCGGCATGGTGCAATCTAGACTCGTCCCGGGAGAGCGGGGCCCGTGCGCGGGGCCGGCGCCCGGGGAGTGGCGGCAGCGGCGGTGGCGGTGGTGGCTGCAGGCGCAGGCAGGCGGCAGGTGCTAAAAGCGGGGCTGGGCGAGGTGTGTACCCGCTGGGCTCCCGGGCCGCCGCCCCCTCACTGTCCGGGTTTGTCCTTCTTTTCGTGCTCCCCAGTGTGTCCAGCCCCCTGCCTCCGCGTCCCGGCCCATGGCGCCCCGCGGTTGAGCCGGCGCCGCCAGGGACCCCTCCCGTGGGCCTCCCCGGGGCGCGCAGATCCCGGAGCCGCCCGCCTACCCTCCGCGGAGCCTCCCTCCCCTCTTCGCCCGAGTCGGGCGGGACCATGGCCGCGAAGCTGCGAGCGCATCAGGTGGACGTGGACCCGGACTTCGCGCCGCAGAGCCGGCCGCGCTCCTGTACCTGGCCCCTGCCGCAGCCCGACTTGGCCGGCGACGAGGACAGAGCTCTGGGCGCAGGGGTGGCCGAGGGCGCTGAGGACTGCGGGCCGGAGCGCCGGGCTACGGCCCCGGCAATGGCCCCAGCGCCGCCGCTGGGCGCGGAGGTCGGACCGCTGCGGAAAGCAAAGAGCTCCCGGCGGAACGCGTGGGGGAACCTGTCCTATGCCGACCTCATCACCAAAGCCATCGAGAGCGCCCCGGACAAGCGGCTCACGCTCTCGCAGATCTACGACTGGATGGTCCGCTACGTGCCCTACTTCAAGGATAAAGGCGACAGCAACAGCTCGGCAGGCTGGAAGGTGGGGGCGTCCGGCTGGGGAGGGGGCTGGGGATGCCGATTGGGGCTTCCGTAGGCTGCTAGGTGGGTCTGGTCTCCGGGCGGGCCGTCAGGAGGGGGCTCTGGGGCACCCCCAGGGGTCACGGAGTGTGTGCCCAGGGCGTGGGGCTGGCTAGCGGACAGGCAGGGGCGTGCTGGGAGCAGCTGTGTGTATGCTCCCTCTCAGGGAGGGATGCTGGGTGGGAGGTCTGGTAGGGTGACAAGGGACTGTAGCTTTGAGGCATCCCTGAGGAACATCCCCACCCCATCCTTGGGGCATAGCAGAAGAGCGGATTCCCAGGCCACGGACATTGGGGACTTCCCTTTGCTTCCCTGAGTTTGCTTTGTACTCTTGTTTTACCCTCTCCACTAGGGCACCCTTTTAAAGAGCTAAAATAATGACTTGGGGCCAGTGGCTGCTTTCCCTCCCAAATCTCTCCACTGCCCTTCCTGGAGCCAGTCCTGGGGTGAAGAGTGCAGACCATGGGCCCACAGTTCTGTCTGGCGCCAGGAGTTCACCCTGGGGCACAAACCAGCCTGGGATGAGGAGCTTGGCAGGTGACCTGAGGTGTGAGTTCTCCATAGGGTAAATGCTGCGTGCCCTTTACCTGGGTCAGCATGGGGGACTGGTGATGACCCCTGCTGGTGCCAGGGTAGGGTGTTGAGGGCCAGGGATCTGCCCCTGTCCACCCCCAGGCAGCCTGACTTCCACCTCCCTGGCTCTCTGATTCCAGATGCATTTAGGGGCTGGGGAAGGGTCTAGGGTACCCCAGGGAGGCCCTCTGTGCCAGAGTGGAAAGGGGGGAGCCATCTTGGGAGAGGACAGGGTCGGGGCTTGATTGAATTGTGACTGTAGACCCAGTTCTCCTCTGGCCATCTTGTCTGTGCCTTTGGGTTAAAGGGGTTGGAGGGGGGTTGTGCCTAAGAGGTGAGCTGTCAGACTCTCAGTGGGAGAGGGGCCTTTGTGAGAAGGCATGCCCACATCCAGGAAGGGGGCTGTACTCTGTAGTGGCTGCCAGCAGAGTCCAAGGAAGGAGATATGTTAGTGGACCTGGGCAGTTTTAGGTGCCCATAGCAGTATTGTAGTGATCAGGGTGTCCTGACCTGGGAACTCATGGCTCTCGAGCTTTGTACTGGCAGCTTCTCTGCATCTTGCTAGCCACTATGGGGCAGGAACATGGGCCAGAGGAATAGACCTGAATCTCCTTCCCCATCCCCTCTCTGAAACCCTTAAATTCAATCCCCACCAGAATACATCCTCCCAAGTGCGCCCTGCCCTTCAGCTTTGCTCTTACTTCCCTCCCTGCTCCCCAAGCCTTTGCCCACCTTCCACTTATCCCTGTACCCGATTGATATTCACTATCCTTAAGGCAGAGTTCGGATGCCTCCTCCAGGAAGCCCTCCCTAACTCTTTTTAGCTAACTTGGGACTCCCTCTCCATGCTTGCATTGGGCATCAGTCATTTGTGTTCTGTCTCATTTCCCTTTCCTATCTCACCTTTGGAAGTCAGTGGCAGTATCAGCCATTCTGTGCCGACAGCACCCAGCATAGAGCCTGGCACCAAGAAGCCATTAATGAGTGCAATGAAAGAGTGAAGAGAGAAGTGGATGGTGCAGAGGATGTGTATTTGGAGTCAGTGGAAAGTAAGGTGGGCCAGAGTAGGCCAGGAGGGCTTCCTGCAGGAGGTGGAGCTCCAGCTGGGCTTGATGGATGAGGGAGGATGGGGAAAGATGGGCAGAAGGGGACCTGAGGGTGGAAGCCAGGAGAGAGCTGCAGTTCATTGAATGTCTTGGGGCCAAGCTCTGTGCAGCCACTGCATACATCTTTAATGTTCTCAGCAGTCCCTGAGGTGGGTTTTACTCTGACCATTATCAGAGGAGCACTCTTAGACCCAGAGTGGAGGAGTTAACTGCATAAGGTCACACGCTTAGAAGATGGAAAAGCTGGACTGCAACCCAGGTGTATCTCCTTCCAGGGCCCCAACAGAGCCTCTGGAACATTGTCTGCTGGCAGCCTGGGGTGAGGATGGGGGAGGTGCTGAAGGCTTTTGAGCAGGGACTAGTATAAATCCTAAAATGTGGTGGCAGTGTGCTTGAAGATAGTTTAGTCCTGTAAGTTCATTTCTCAGATGGTGAGACTGAGGCCTTGAAAGGGGATAGGACTCTCCTGAGGAGTTCAGTGAGTGGCAGACCGTGGACCGGAGTCCAGGTCTCCCTCCTGCCCATTGGATGTGGTTTCCACCGCACCACACTGCTGGGGGCACACTGGCTTTCCCTGTGCCTGGCTCCTGGGTTGGAGTCCTGGCAGGTCCTGGGTCCTGGGCTGGAAATTAGAGAAGGAGCCTCAGGCTTGGACTCCTGTTTTAGGCCCTGGCAGAGACCACCTAAGTACTGAAGGGGACCTGCCTCAATACTCTTTCTTCAGTGGCTGTCCCCTTCTGCCCCCGCTGCTCCTCAGGAGGCCTCCTTTCCCTCCCATTCTTGGAGCTTTTTGCCCCTGTGCCTCTTCTCCCATTCCCAGTAAATTCCTCCAGAGGACTGATGGAGGAGCTATCCCCAAGTTTCAGCTACTCCCACATTAACAGAGGCTGCAGTACACTTCAGGTGCCCAGATTGGGGCCTAGGCCCATTATTCCTTCCTCCCTTCCCCATCCCAACAAAAGCATTGAACTTGAATCCCTAGGGTGTACCAAACCCTGCATTCCATAGAGTGAGGAAATCTTCAGGGTGCATTAGGCTCAGCCAGTTCCACACCCAGGCCCTGAGTTTTACAGACAGGAAAGGCTGGGGGTGGGGCAGGGGCTCCTGGAAGGTGGGTTAGATATCCTAGGGAGCCAGGCAGGTCCTCACAGAGGAGGTAGCACTTGATCTGAGCTTCCTTCACTGGGGAGGGAAGAATTTGGGTGATAGTCTTTGGCAGGGTGGGGGGTGTTGAGTATACTCAAAGGCAGGGAAGTAGGATCGTACATGTTGGATTTAGGGAACATTTTAGGTGTTCCAGGCTGGAACCTAGAGTCCCCCAGGCATGGCAGGGAGGTAGCATGGTAAAGGTGTGTGTGGGGGGTGGTGGGAGTCAGCTCAGGAAAGGCCGATGTGCTAAGCCTTCACCCTATATGATGTGGAGAGGTAGTCAAGTGTGCTGAGGACAGCAACTGGAGGAGGCAAGACCAGTAGCAGGTTCAGAACACCCAGATTAGGCTGAAGCCTAGAGAAAGGCTGTGCTCAGTGCTGGGAATCTTACCCAAGGGGCTGGTTAAGTTTCCCTTGGGTTGAAGGGTCTCAGGCCTAGGATCTGGGATTAAACAGGATGTCCCCCTCTTTCCAAGGTGCCCCAAGAGTGTGACTATCCAGATAGAGCTTGGCTGTCCCTCCCTCTTGGCTCCTCCAGTCGCACTTTTCCTTAGCTCTTGACTCCTCCGGGAAGCCTTCCAGGCTGTTCTGAGTTCTGGAGCTCCTTTTACTTAGAGCTCCTGAGTTGTTCTGTCTCCTTTTGTGTTTCCTGGCTGCCAGCTCCTTTGGGAGCTCCCAGGCCAGGCCTGGGCACCTCCCATTCCTGTCCCCAGGCCCAGTGGGGAGGAGCACAGTGGATGGGGACTTCCCCTCTCCTTCAGGGCATAGAGCTGCCTGTCTGCTGAGGGGTGGGTTCAGAAGAGCTGGTGCTACCCCAGTCTGGCCCAGCCCTGCCCAGTAAGTTCCAGGTGGGGAAGGGAGGGACTGATCTGAGGGTCCAGGAACAGGGTCCTGCTACAGGCTCTGAGCAGTGGTTGTGAATGTAGGGCGCCCCCTTCCCTCTCCCCTCAAGCCTGCTCCAGCGGGGCTCCCTCCTCCTTTGTCCTCGGGGATCCCCATCCCCAAGGGCTGGCGGGGGTGCAGGAGGAGGCGGTGTGAGCCCCGATTGGGGGGTGTCCTCACCCCCCTCGCTGCACGAGCGAGGGGCTGGCAGCTGCCCGCCTCCTGGGCAAGGGCCCGTGCCAGCCGCTCCTGGCACAGTTGTTGGCACGCCCGGCAGACTCCCACGGCCACCTGCTCACACCCACCCACGAGCGCTGGCGCGCTGCGGGCCCTTCCGGCTTCCCGGGCCTCCCGGAGCCCCTCCCCCGCCGCCGGGCCGAGCCGCCACCCCAGTCCCCAGCTCCCCACGGACCCCTCGCTCGCCGCCCGCCGGGTGGCCCCCGCCTTCGCCCCCACCGCGCAACTTGGGGAGCTCGGGAGGCGGGGCTGCTGGGGCCTCCGGGGTAGCTGCGCCGCGGGGGAAGGGGACCGGGAGGCAGGCAGACAGACCGACAGACAGGGTGAGGGCCCCGCCTGCCACCTGGCGCCGCTCCAGCGGGACGATGGCGGGCAGCGCCGTGCCAGGCGGTAATTGCAGACAGACTAATTTAAAGAGATGAGACGGTTATTTTTAACTCGCGTTAAGGTAATGAACAGCGCGGGGGGTTTGCGGGTTCGAAAGTTCAGCGCCCCCAACCCCCACTTTGTGCGGATCGAGGGGCCCCTTCTCTGCACGCCCTGAGGTCTCCAGGCTCGGAACTGACTCGGGATAGGTGGGGAGGGAGGCTGAGAGCAGGAGAAGCCCTCCTGCCAGAGGGCCAGAGGGCCAGAGGGCCGCGACGTGGCATCCACTAGCCAGGCGCTGCACTATCAGATCCTCCACACCTTGCTTCCAGGTGGGGAAATGACTTACCCTGAGGTCACACACCCAGGAAGTGGCAGACCTAGGAACTGAACCCCATTCTAACAACCCTCAAACTAGAGCTTTTTCTATGCCCATGGGTAGGACTGGGGATGGGTGGGGGCTGGAGAGAAGGCCTTGGGTTTGGACTTTGAAAGGATTGAGGACTTTTTCCATGTAGCCTACCTTGCCCTGTCATTGAGTGGCAGCCAGTGATGGCTACCACCTGGGGTCCTGGGGTCTGTGTCCTGTGAGGGCTGAGTGGGTGGTCATGGACTGTGGCTGCGAGCCTCTGGGATGGGGTGCTTCAGT